TAAGAATAATTTGTAATTTCTTACATATGCATAAAAACATACAGGGTCTTGTGATAAAAGCGGTAGGGGCGGTTTTAGAAGTAAATATATAAAAAAAAGTTTCATTAAATTTATTCTTATAAATCTTGACACTCAAAGAAACTACAACATTATATAAATTTGTATGAAAAGTCATGCAATTTTGACCAATAATTCACTCCATAAAATGCTGCATTAAGTAACAACGGTAAACTTGAATACTATAATTTTTTTAATGCAAAGAAAACTCAGGAAAAAAGTTCAATTAAATAATTATGTCAATCGCTTCCGCTTAATCAACTTAATACCAAAACTATTCAAGGATATGACAAATTTAAAATGATTTTAAATAGAAAACAGTTGAATGTGTTTTAACCCCTTTTTTTGTAAAGAGAAATATAAACGAAACCATAAAATTAGAATTATACACTTTTTGTAAGCACCCTATATTTATCCATATAATATTTGTATTATTACATATTTATAACGAATAATATACGCAAAATTACAATCATATGATAAATGTTCCTAAAGCACACATTCAAAAGAAAAAGGTATTATTAAGATCCGCAATACAAAAATTGTCATCATTAGTTGGATAAAACAAACATAAATAAAAATGGATTCGAACATTATTGAAGGATAAGGTATTACAGAAAAATATTGATGAGACCTATTCCTTTTTTTCATTTTTTCAAGCTCTCCTGATCTTTTTACACTAAATGGTATGCAAAATTGAATAGTGACAAAGAAAAATTATTTGCACATATTTATGTACGTGCATTGTATTATTTAAACAAAAGAAACAAAACAGACACACTTCACAAATTTTATATTGCATAAAGTATAAGTCAATAAATTTATATTAAAATTCAGAAATAATACAAACATTTTTATTAAAAACAAAAAAAACTATTTTTATTATTCGATACAAATTAATTGCATATATCATAGGCGAAAGAACAAAAACTTTCAAATAAAAATAACAAAACAGTAACATTTTCCAAAAATCAACTGTTATTCTCAATTGTTTACTGTTCAAAAGAGACAATATAGGTATGTACATAACTAAACGAAGTCACATACTCCAATACATACATTACATACGTATGATACATAAATGTATATAAATCATTAATATCATAAAGTCCTTAAAATATCTACAGATAGGAAATTCAGAAATATAAAAAAAAAAATTTTCAAAATATCCTTATTTGATACTTGAAATACAAAAGGAGTAGGAGCTGCAATTTATTCAATAAATTTTTCAGTTCTGTTTTTATTTAAAATTAATTTTTTTTTCGTAAAGCGCGGCAACATTGTATTTTCGTTTCCTTTTTTTTTCGTTCATAAAAATAATATTACATGTATGTTTGTATATTTGCATATATGAATATATGAAAGGTAGGAGGTAACTTCATATATAGGATGGAAATTAAAATACAGAAAGAAAAAATAGCAGAGTATACCAAAAACGAAAAGTAATAAATAAATACGTAATCCTTAAAATGGAATAGGGAAATCATATTGTATTATTCGTGTTCAGTATAGAAAACGGCAAAACGGGACATTAAAGAAGGTAAATAAGATTTAAGCAGAGAGATCTGCTCTTAAAATCTTTCGATAATAAACTAATTATTCCTGTAGCCATGTACATAGTGTGTACTAAATGACTTTTAATTTTATTATTAATTTTCAATCCATATCAAGTTTTTACTTTCTCTACACTTTTCTTACACAATTGCCTTTTCATTTATATTTCATCCGTTTTCTGCAAAAAATTTATACAGAATATTCGAATATTTGAATTTTGTTAAAACTCCGGAATTAAGATTATCTTATTATTAATTCTGTACAATAACTGAATGCTTTTGGACTTACATTATTAAATTTTTTATCACTAACCTTAATTAATTATTAGAAAATTGGTTAATCAATCATATTTTCAAATTTAAATTATCTTGAAAATCCGTCCAAGCAAATTCGAAATAGACAGATGTAGAAAAAAAAATGCCGGCAGATTTAAATCTCGCTAAAAAAAAAATTACTTGAGTTTTTATATCGTGAAAAAATTTATTCCTTTCCTTTTAAAGAAATTTGGTGAGATCACAGATCTTATACATTTTGTAATATTCTTCATGATCAAATAACGACTTTGCTCCACTGTAATTCGAAAAACAATTTTCTCATATTAAAACATCTTAAAAATCTTTAAAATTTTCCTTTTAATAAAAATTCTTTTACCACTCTGATAGTTTATTGTAATAGTATGGAAAATCATTTTATATACAAAATATTTTTGTATGCTAAACAAGGATAATAAATTCTGTACCTACATGTGATTTTAATATTTTTAAAATATATTTTTGGAACATTTATTTGTTACAAGGGAATGGAGGTCTGGTTTTTAAATTCTGGAGCATATATGAGATGAGAAGCTTAAATGATAAATTTTATACGTTAGAAACGAAAGAAAACGACGAAATAATTTCAAGTGCCTTACTTCCATACAGGAAAAGAATGAAAAAATCATTGTGAAAAAAAATATAAAAAGAAAACCTATTTTTCCGTTTTTATTTCGTTTAGATTTTTAAGGACTCTTTCTTTTTAAGATTTTTATTTTTTTTTTTTTTATTTGAAGATTTCAAGTGTGACGTTATTTTTAATGTAGGTGGGATTTTTCCTTTTTTTATATTTCAAAAAAAAAAACAACTGAACAAAATTGAACGTGAATTACATTCAGTATGCATGTGGGGTGTAGAAGTTTGTATGGATATAAGCAATCATAATACGCGAATAATTTAACTATAAATATGCACATGTATTGTAAATATTATAAAAAAATATACAATATTCCATATAAAATGCGCATTTATAATAAGAACAAAAACAAACAAAAAACAAGAAATCCTTGAAAAAAATCTGGATTTTCTTAATGATCGCAAATGTCTTCACAAAAATTATAAAAACATGAAATAAGTGAGGAAATTTTTGCAAATGTGTGGAGATTTTTTTTTAATTTTACACTACCTCATATCAATATTAAAAATATTGTTTTTGTTGTTATTTTTTTTATATTAATAAAAATATGAAAACGAAGAATTTTGTTTTCTCAGTCCCACACACCATTTATGAGTAACTGTTTTCTCTACAGTACAGATTAATTTTCTTTTATTTTTAGAATTTATTACCAAGGTAAGAAGTAAAAAATTTTAATATTAAAATATTTTGTTTGTTTTTATCTTTGGTGGAAATAATTTGGAAGCACGTGATAAAATAAATTGATATCCTTCAGGCGATTTTATTTTTATTTTTTTGTATATTCCTGCAATATAGAGAAGAACGGACATAGAAGAATATGTTGCTGTGTATGGATTAGAAAAGTAATTTTATTGATTTTTGATTTTTCAAAAAATTTTATTGCAATAAATTTTGAATTATGTATTTGGTGACACTTAACTTTTCAAATCGCAAATACGCAGAAATTTAATTTTATAATTCTAATGTTATTTAATTCTATAAATAAAACTAGTTCATCTAGTAAAGTTCAATGATCAATAAGAATTAAAAGTGATAATTATTTAATATAAATTAGTTTTCAATTTTTTACCGGACTCATGTCAAATTCTACTATAAAACTTAAAAAAAAACATAGAAAAACTTTAATTGTATTATTCGCTATTCAAAAAATAGCAATATATACGACATAAAAATATAGACTTTTAAGTAGGACGAATAATAATAATCGAAATCTTTATCAGAATGCTAATCGCAAAAGCAAGCAAATGTGGTAATGTAGCTAAAGGGGATAGCGAACTACTTAGTTTTGTTTCCTTGAAATAGTTTCTTCGTATTTGTCTAATGTAAAGGAAGAGACGCTTTTAAGAGAGTACCAATTAAATATCTTGACGAAACTGTCAAGAGTATCAATGGGAGATTTGCTGAGCTTAAAAAGTAGATTTAATGGTTCTTAAAAGAAGTAATGTGTTACGGGCCCACTACGCTCTCATTCTAAGTAACAAATTAGTTCTGGTTCAAAGCAAAAAAATATATTAACAACAAAGTCTTTTACTCCTACATCGCTAATTGATAAAGTATTTGTGCTGGCTTTAAAATTTTAATTTACACGAAAAATAGCACCATAATTTGAATGAATTGCAAATTAACAATAAAAATTTTTGATTTATACTTTAACCGTGTTGAGCTAGCAATTAGAGTATTGTAGACACGATCATAAATAATTTTTTTAAAATATTTCTAATTTTTCAAAAAATATGACAAAATTATATTTTCTTTACATTGCCCTATATTTTATCGAAAACATAATTTCCTTCCTTTTTCTACTACTCTTTTCGCCACCTATAGTATGTTCTAAAAATAAAAATCGTAAAAACTGTCGATATACTTTTCTCAAGGCCAATATTTTATTTGTAATAAACCTGCTAAAAACCATTAAAAAATTTACCAAATCATATAAGTAATAAAGTTCTTTTGTTCTTATTTTTATAATAAATTCTCGAGAGCTTTACTTGTACCAGTCTAGGCACTAGACCTGACATTATAGAACTAAACGAAATGTGAATAGTATATTTCTTCTTCCTGCAGAGGCTTGTTATTCCTCTACTATATATTGCGTAGTGACAAAACACTAAAGCGCGGTGCCATACAGTCTAGAGATCAAAAGCATTATACGTTATAAGACGCCAACACTTTGGCATTTTCCAGAAGATAACGTCAACGCTAAATAATGCACTCTACAAAGTATGTTGTAAAAATTAGACAACATTCTTAAATCAATTACTTTACCATTAAATATTTATTACCAAATTAATTTTGAAATCCTTCATCATTTAATTTATTAAAGCTTTTTAAAAATATTTTAATTTAATATAAAAATTTTCTACAACTACAAAAATTATAAAATATTAATATTGAAATTATATAAGAGAAATTTGTAAATCAAATTTAATTTTATTTTTCAGTGTTTGGATTAGATTCACCATTAGGGTTATTTCCACCTGGCATGGATCCAGGAAAACTTTACAATCCATTAATGGATATTACAGATCCACGTGATTTACCTGGCAATCATCCACCTTTTATGAAAAAGAAAAGTAAGTAAAAATCATAATTATATATACATACGCACAAACATTTATCTTACATAAAAACTTTTAACATAATTATATTTTATTTGAACTTTCATTTTATATTTTCGATTGCAAATTAATAATGTCATTTAGAAAAGTTTCCTTTTTTTTGTTAATTGTTTTAAAGGGGCCAATAATTAGCATAGCATTTTCAATATTAATTTTAAATTTTATTATAAAATTAAACCCATAAGCATACATACGAACATATATATGTATATCAATTAAATTTCTCTTTAATTTTCGAAATGGTTCCATTGATCGGTTTTGACAATATTTTTTAACACAACAACAAAAAAATTTACTTGCAAATTATCACAAGGTTTGGATTGTGCAAGTGTGAAAAATCTCTTTTAACTTTTACTTTTGAATATTGTTCTCCTTGAATAAATTTATACTTATACATACGTACACATACATGTATATTAAAATTATATATATATTGCTGTGTTTATTTTGCACATTTTTTTAAAAGCAATATTGAAAGTAAAGTGCTGTACAAGTTTAAACAAATTCTTTGTTGAAATTTGTAAATCCTAAATATTTTTTTTAATATTTAATTAAAAGTTGAACGTCTGTTTCTTCGATTAAATTTTGTTGTATAAACAAAAGAGTTGTATGACTTATGAGATTAAATGAATTTTCTTATAGAGCACACATGATTACTTGCATAAATTTCGTATATAAACAAAATAAAATGATTTATTTTTTTTTTCACTTAAATCTAAATTAAATTTTCAATTTGTGTTTTTGTTTTTTAATTTTATACTCTCATACTATTCATATATGTTTGTACATTATCACATCATCGGTGAAATTACACAATCAATCACCTGTTAAAGGTGTGCAGTCTTCCATTCAAAAGCGTAAACCACATGTGTTATGCACGACTAGATACCAAACATTCTATCTTCCTCGAAATAATGTTACAATTTTAACATCATATAACTTGGTTTTTGTTTTACTATTCGATTCGATTTTTTTTTCTAATCTTGTAATCCATGCTTTTGTTACTTTCCCTTAAAGTAAAAACAAAAAACACAACATATTTTAAACGCATTAAAAACATTTTTTAAAGTGAAACAAAAAATTAAGGAAGAAAAAAAGAGTTAAACATGCGAACTATAAGATAACAGTTATTATATCAGAAATAAGAATGTTGTTGCCTTTTTCAAATATAACTTCAAATTCTAAAATTTTCGTTTAATAGGTTTTTAACCTACTTGCCTTTATACGATTTTTAGTACATGAAATATTTGACGAAATTTGACGAAATCCCATATCATATATTTTGAATCTTTTATATGACATTTTAAAAAAACAATAGATGATTTCATTGGGTTATGTTGGAAAAATATTGAATTTTGAGTCCGAAATCAACGCCTGAATTCAAATAAGTCTGGCTCGTTTTATCCTGATTTGATCAAAAAACTTGCAGTTCAAAAAAAAGAGCTCTTTAATGCCGAATTTTCTTCCGTATTGTAATATATTATAAAAACTACAATTTAAAAATTTTTAAGGATTTTTTGTTAGTTTTACTATATTCGCTCCTCTTTTTAGACATGTTCTATGAAATATAAAATTTTAATCTATATTCGTAACCAATTACAATTTTTAGAGTTTTGTGTGTCAACGAATAGTAAATCTTAATTAACTTGAAAAAACAGTGAATTTTGTAACAACTTTGTGTAAAATTTCGAAGTGTTCAAAATAAAAAAAAGTTGTTACATAACAAGTTATTGAGGCGGGACACTTTTTCCTTGTCGAAATTATGATTTTTCAACCTAAAGGATGTTTTAATTTCTGACCATGGATCTGACCACAGAAATAAAATTTGCAAATATAAAATCGCAAATTTTAAATGAAATGCCCAAAAAATGTTTTCTTTTTTCCACAATAATTTTAAATATGCCCTTTTTTTCTTTACCTAATATAGTAAACGGAATTACATTGTCGTGATACGTATCAGTTACATTAACAGATTTATAATAACAAAACTAAGTTACTTTAAAACAAAAACCATGTGAAATTTCTATTTACCTGGTATTGGCAGTAAAAAATTAGATACATGTACTTTTATATATATATATACATACACATTTAAGTTGTTTTACAAAAATTTACCAGGTGAGAGTGTTACATGTTACAATTTTCTTATTATTTCATTATTTTATTTTGATTTTTTTAATTCCTTCTTCCTGTGTGAATGATTTTCTTTTATTCATAGTTAATTTAATTTAGGCATGTTTTTCATATGATTGTTTTTTCTTCATGTTTTCTTATTTACAATAACGAGTAAAATCGAAATATATAAAAAATATCACAGTTCAATAAATTTCTAAAATTTTTCAACAAAATTCTCATAATTTGCGTAATTTACGTTATGTTTAGGTATATACATATATAGAAATTCATTTAAAAGAGTAAGTGTAGCTAAAATAAAAATATAAATTAAACCATGTTTTTGCAATGAAAAATTTGGTTTTTTTATAATGTCAATATTAAATTTCTTTTTTCAATAATAGTTCAAAATGAAGCAAAAAAGAAGAAATTTGTGGTGTATATTGACCACAATTAACAATTAGATGTAAAATTATAACCGGATATTGAAATATTTAGAAGAATACAAAGAAAACAAAATTTCATAAATACGTACATAGTTATGGAATTTTATCACTATCAACGCTTGCAATTTGTAAACCAAGAGTGATTAGTTGGAAAATAGTACAGAAAACTTAATCGTTAATTTTGTAACTCTTCCGAGAATATTAATAAATCCATCGGACACTTAATTTTTGTTTGAGTGTCTTCTTTCATATTTGAAATAAATAGTACATGCGTCAATATGAGAAACGATGTAAACGCTAAAAGAGTGTGGAAAATTTGAAACTAATTATTTTATGGGCCCTTAAATTTTAAAAAGAACAGGGTATAAAACGTCAATTAATTTTTTCGTTCATATGTAAAAGAAATCTAATGTGGTCAGCACATAAACGGCCGTAATGTATATTTGTCTAAATTGGTAAAAGTATTGCAAAAGATTTTGAAATTGCGTTTTAAACACTTTTTTACAATTTTAAAGACACAAATAAGCTTTTAGTTAACATGTCTAGAAAATTGTGAATTTAGCTCTTAGTAGAGTTTCATTTCGTGCTGTCCAAATTATACAAAAAGTTCGTCAGTAGTTTCTGGGAACAACCAGAACTCAAATATTAAATTTCAATTCTATCAATTCGTTCCGTAGCTATGGTTAAAAATGTAAAATCGGCCCCCAGATCAGTTTCCGTGTTCTGACCTTTCAAAAAGATTTACACATTCATTGTTTTAACACCTTGAATTTAAATATTAAATTTCAATGAAATCGGGTAGCCGCAAAAATGTATATTTGGCCTGTAGTAAACGTCCAGTTTCTGACACCTAATTTTTTCTAAAAGTTAGTAGTTTTCGCGTACGGTCGAATAAAAATGATATGAAATTTCAAGTAAATCTGTTGAATATTTTCTTCAAAATGATCAAAAATACAAAACAGGAACGCAAAAACGTGCAGTTCAGAGGTCTGATATATCCCAAAAGTTGATCAATCCGTGGCATAGGCAAAATAAACTTACATATATAAAATTTCATCAAAATCGGTTAAGCCGTACTAGAGATACGCGTGTACACACAAACCAACAGACCTACAAGGTTGCTAAAAATAGCTTATTTACACTTCCCTACCATGAAGAAGTGCATTGCCATCGAAAGCCCGATATGCAAAATTTGTTGCCATCACATAACTTACCTTATTGTATGGAATGCGGTTGGTAAAAAGATGGAAGAAAAGACTGTTCATAATTTCCATATGTGGAACTAGAAATTGATGTATTTGCAGAATAAGGAGACCTTAGTGCATATTCCAGGGAACTGTTTAAAAATCACAATCTATTCCTCCACAGAGAAGGGAAATAATGGGGAAATAATTACTTACTACAGCGGAGTTCCTAGTTATTCGAGTTAGCCAGGGAGTCGATCGTGAGGGATGTTGTAGGGGTGAGTCGTGCACATGGAAGGGGTGGAATGTGTCTCATAAGCTGGTTGCGGTGCGTTAATACCTAATTAGTACAATCTATAATCTACAATTTCTATATTAAAAAAAAAACAACTTTCTCGGAACAATTATGCGCTACTTCTGAACTACTTCTTCATTTAAACTATGGAAGTTAACAGTGTTAGGAAATGTTTGTAATGTAAATACCTTTAAAAAGATATTTAGAAGGAGAGCATGTATCCAAATTAATGGCTACAATATTCTTATATATGTGTGAAAATTAATGCAGGTTTTTGGTCATTAAACCTCTGATATTTCAGTCTTGTAACGGAATATTTCTCCAGAAAAGCGTTTCATTCATACAAGCGAAGAGCAATTATCAAAAACCACTGTTTCCATGTAAATAATACAGACAATAATGAAATTCGTTAAAAAAATATAGATTCTATATGCATAGTTGATCCCACGAACTATACATAAAACATAATTTCTTTTACATTTACAAAGATAAATGCATATTAGAACATACAAATGGTATACAAATTGAAATTTGCATACGTTAAAATATAAACGCCTTTATTTTATATTCATGTAAATAGATACATATATATATAACACGTAACAATGTGTATCATTATTATATTGTTATATGAACATATAATGAAAAATCAAAATATGTGAAAATACAATAACATTAAGATAATATTAAAATCTATGAAACGAAGTGAAATCAATTCAATCACATACTTACACAATCGCGATCTAAATTGAGACTCCACCTGAATAACAAAAGGTTATCAACTTTTTAAAATCAGTTAATGATTCAATCTCAAAGCTCAAACAATTTGTTTTATCTTTTTACAAAATATTTGAAAAAAAAAGCACATTTATGATTTGATTCTGTCTGCCCGTCCATTTATCAAAATTTTTCATTTAT